AGAGAGAGAGAGAGAGAGAGAGAGAGAGAGAGAGAGAGAGAGAGAGAGAGAGAGAGAGAGTTGGGTGGTGGGGGCCATAAAGAGGTGGCGCGTGAGCGGTGTTCCTTTGATTGGCACGTACTACCCAACCGGACCATGCTGTCACCATTCAGCGCCGCGAGCGACATATCACAATACAAATATATTTAAGTAAAAAGTGTCGTCACGTTGTCTTCCATATGTTGATGAACCCCACTTCGGTTTTGCGAAACATGGAACAATGTGTACAGTGTTCGTGATGCTGTCAACGGAGATGACGATGCACAACTGACAACCATTTATCACTTCCCATTTCAGTTTTTTGCACCCTGTCACATCTGCTCTTTCAGTGTCTGTCTCTTTGTACCATTTTACAAAGGCGCACTTGTGCGTGGTGGGCACTCCTTCCGTACAGGTGTTCATAACAAAAAACATTGCCACAAGTGCATACCACATACTTCCTGTCTGTGCCCTTACAAACACATCACTGTGCACTGCTTTCCCGTGGAAGTTGGGTGAAGCCCTTGCAGTTTGCACAAGTGCGCCCCTGGTTGTTCCATTGCCTGTTGCTGCGATGGCAAAATGCGTTCTAGTGCGTATTAACATGTCCTCTGGCGGTGGATTGCACCCGTTTTTCGACATGTACGTGTGAAGAGTTTCTCGAAATAACTCCTTGCACGGGAGGGCATCCAATATTGCTTTGGCGGTTCCCGTCGCACCTTCGTTCTCATTTGTTCCTGCATTTTCAAGGGGGAAATATCGGAGTTGCATCTTTGCCGTGTCGCGTGCGGCAAGTGTGTTCATTCCACGTGCTGAGCACTCCATGACCGACGACCAATTTTCAGTTGTCCTCTTCCTGTGTTTCCGTGCACGGTCAATGTCGTCGTCGAATGCGACTATCCTTCACACGTGATTTATCATTTGAAACGAGGCTTTGCGCTTGTTCGACGACAGGAAAGGTTGTTTGCAAAACTTTTGGTGGTGGTGCTCCCAGACATCGGCCGCGAAGCTGTCAGGGAGACCTGAACGTTCGATGTACGCCCTCAAATGCAGAAGGTCATGTAACTTCGGCACTTTCTAATTGGAGGTTTGATAACGACCCAGGACCTGTTTGAGGGTTGTTATGAAGTCCGTCATCAGATTGTCACATGCGTCAAGCGAATGACTTGAATTCTTTGTACACCGGAACATTGAGATGTACAGTTCCATTAGTTTCTTGAAACAAGATGTTATTCGTTTCCCTACTGAACCGGGGACTATGCTGGACACTATGAATATGCACACTGCCATGACCGACCGGTTCTTCTTAGCTTCGAAACGGCCCTCTCGTGAAAAGTAGTCGCAACCTGTTGCAACAGGTAGCACAAGTTGCGGATACGTAGTACTGCTTCTCTCGCTCAACGTCTGCAACCTCGCATCCAACTCCTTCAACACATGGCTTTGTGGGACGTAGCTTAACTTGTCAAAGGCAGCTTCTTTGAAAGCGTCTAACATGTGCAAAAAAATGTCGTGCTCAATGGTGTGCATGCGGTCTGGTTGCAGAGCAAGGTGGTAGTCAAACATCGGATCATCGTCTTCAAGACCTCTATAAAACCCCCACAGGCCGTTCTCTTTCACATGCGTGTGCATGTTCAAGTTCAACAATTGTTTCTTCGCCAAGCGACGAACATCATCGTTGTCTGTCGTGTGGAATTCAGTTAGAAGTGCACGTTCCCTGCTTTGTGATCGACGACAGTTATTGAAGTCCACAATGACATCAAAATGTGATTTTGACATTGTGCATGTCGCGCAAACACTGTATCGAACCGTTACGATGGCGCACCTCTCAGGGTAATCTTGAATATAATTCAGCAGGAAAGGGTGCACTGTTAATTCTCCCCAGCGCTCATCGTCATAAACAATGCCATCATGCGACGCGTGCTTCGCAGCGTGCAACACCGCAGACAGAGCTGAGTGCAGAATGACGGCTTTGCGTTGCCTGAACGCGGTGCTTTGCAAACCCCATCCCTTGTCTCCTGGGCGGTGATGGAGGACAGGAAGATACGCGAGAAGTGTCGCGTCATGTGCATGGTCACCKATTGACATCATTMATGGATATGYYGTCTGTTTCTGCCGTCCATCTACATGTGTCTTGTCAGAATACAGACAGATTGGCACTACATACCGTGTTCTGCCATTCTTATCTACGCCTTTGTGCGCTCTGATGATGGTCTGCACGTGATGCCACAATACTCCACAGCGAGCGTTGTCTATTGTGGGTTCTGGCTGGGAGGCGGGGGGCGAGAGACACGACACCATTTCCATGTTCCTCGTCGCTGCTTTGAGCAGTGACGTGAAAGTCGTGCACCAATCTCGGTACCACAGCACGGCATGTGCATCGGATGGCCAGTCATCACTTCTGAGATCTATCTCCCGCCACCCGTTCGTCTCTGCCTGCCTACTCGTCCAACGTAAAAACTCACAGTTGTTGCGGTACACGATTTTCTGCGGCGAGAAACTTGGATCTCTCAGTACTGAGAGAAGAGTGTCGATGTCGTTAAGTGACATCCCTAAGCCACCCCTAGAGGACAACATGATCGCAGCCAGTCTGCGGGATGTGTCAAACGCCCGCACGTCGGGGGGATCTTCCTCGAAACCACATTCCATTTCGGCTTCCACAGCGAGGTCGACGTTGTTCTCTCCCAGACCATCGCCATCCAGCGCGCCGTCCTCCCCCTCGGATCTGTTGTCCCGGCTCTGTCTGTCGTCATCGTTTGATCTACGACTCGTTGGCACCGGACATGCCCTCACGTGATGAGAGTTTGATGTCCTTAATGAACTGAAAGGTCGACCGCATTCACACACCATGTGGTCGTCCGTCATCTGCTCTATCGACTATACAGGATATGAAATGAAATCACACCTACAATGCCAAACGCTTTGCATGCACAATGGACTTACTACTTGGTCCTTCCACGAAGTTCGGTTTTTTATCCTGCCTCGCTACCACAAACACAACAATAAAAACACACGTTCAGTGTTCCATTCCTAACTGAGCACCGAAAAGTGGAATCCCGTTTTTCCAGACATACCACTGCCTCTCGTGATGCTCATTTCCATTGATATTTTATCCACCTGCCAATGAGCCACAACACCCTACGGCAGAGTTCTGAGCTGTGGTCATTGTGGACACATCATCGCAGTCGTTTGTGTGTGTGTGTGTGTGTGTGTGTGTGTGTGTGTATGAGAGAGAGAGAGAGAGAGAGAGAGAGAGAGAGAGAGAGAGAGAGAGAGAGAGAG